TGTACCTGCCTGGAGGAATGTACCTGCCTGGAGGATACACCAAATCTTCTCGTACTCTGAAGGCCGAACGAGTGGTCCGATTCAACGCGAGTGAAGGGTTGGTACCTGCAAAAGGCACTCCAACGCTCAAGTCAGGACAAGCACCAATATCGAGGGTAATTAATGAACAGTGACGTTACCTTTTGACTTGAGCTATTTATATTGACATTTATGGGCTTTGGACCCCATGGGCCCTGCAACGTATTTACCGTATTAGGTAATACACCTTAATCAACTAATTAACTCCTAATCATGGATTAAGGACCATGAGAGATGATGGGCCGATCCAGGTGGCCGAACGCCACTCGGTCACTTGGTTTTGCCTTTTGGCAGCCGACCGGGTGGTGGCCAAACGCCCTTACCCGTACAAAACCCATTTTATTTCTTATTCAGTTTCGATAAGAATTAATTTAGTATTGACCAAGCACAACACATCTAAAATCAGGTTCGGTTGTGAATATTGGCATATATATATATATCCTCATATAATAATCCTAATTGATAATCAAAATCAATCTCTCCAGCATAGAGATTATCTTTTAGGAGTACAATTTTACTCGAACAGAATAAAACTATTATAAATATTATTATGAATGTAATAAAAATAAATAAAAGAAAAGAAAAAAAAACTTTAATAATTGAGTAGTTTTTTTCACACCAAAATATTTGAGTAGTTGTATTTCCAAGTCTTTGAAATAGAAAAAATGTTAAAGGAAATTTGATATTTTTATCTGAAATATATTTTTATACACAGGTAAAATTGAATCTTAATCAACATTTTTAAAAATGATCAAATATGTCAAATGCATGTATGGTACAATATAATAATCATATTTTTATTAATTTTGACAGTAATCCAATAAAAAGAATGTCTTAAAATATGAAAGAGAAATGTGGGGATAGTGGTGTGGATTGAGTTTTGGAGGCAAAGTGAGAAGAGAAGGGCAAGATGGTAAATTGACGTGGTCCCATGTAATGTAAGTATAACGAGAGACGAAGGTAGTTATTGTTGAAGCGGGAACATAGGACACAGAAGAAGAACGACAATAACAATATCATCCAAAGACCATTGTCGCTGCCATCAAAATTTTGGTTCTCTGATTCCCTTTTGCGGGATCAGAGGATCACCACCATCGTTTTCTTCCTCACCCCTTTCATAGGTTACTTCTTTCCTTCTCTCTCTCTCTCTCTCACTTGCATTGCATTCCTTCCCTCCATTGCCTCTCATTGCAAAATGCAGTTTTGAGGAATCGGAGGGTTCTTTCTCACGATTTCTCGAAACCGCGCGAGAGGAAAATGGAAGGGTGGCTCTATCTCATTCGCCCCAATCGCTTTGGTCAGCATTACTCTCGCAAGAGGTACTTCATCCTCAAAGACAATGTCCTACATAGCTACAAGATCAAACCCGCTACCCAAATGGAGGTATCAAAATTCCTTCATTTATCAACTCATTTTCCATATCTTATTGCTTTTACCATGTTTGATCTATTGTCGTATGGATCACAATTTTAACATGCTTTTGCATTAATCTATCTGCCTCCAACAGGCCGCCCTTCCTTAAATGAGAAATGTATATGTCCACTTTTTTTTACAAACATGAGACTTTTGGCAATATATGTCATTTTTTTTACTTTGTTCATGGGCCTAAAGCTTAGGGTTTAGCAGGATTATCCTTAGGCCACTTCTGAGTGGAAGGTACATGTGATCTATATAAAAAAAAATTGACTTTAGCAATATAATATTATATGATATTGCTGTTATTGAATTTTCGTTGTGGTTGCCATCATTGAATTAATTGTCAATTGTGGTTAATTAAAGCGTTGTATTAATTTTCAGGAGCCCATTAGAAGTGCAATAATAGACTCCAGCATTCGGGTTAATGACAACGGAAGGGAGAATATCAACAAAAAGGTAAGAAACCTGGGATTCTTACTATGGACAAGATTGAATACTTTTTTCTTTTTTGTTTCGAATCTATTTTCACTTCTCTGATAGAGCTGCATTGTTTCTTTTGGAAACTTTTAAGATCGTATTTACAAATATGTTTGCATTGTGCAGATGTTTTTTGCTTTCACTCTGTATAATGTCACAAATCAAAGTGATAAGCTTAAGGTGTGTTGAAATTAAAACTTCATGTAAAATATTTATTATGACAAAAAATTTCAGTTGATTGATTCATGGTACATTCCATATTTTATAGTTAGGAGCGAGTAGTTCAGAAGAAGCTGCAAAATGGATGCGTTCCTTGCAGGATGCTGCATTTAAGGTTCTAATCTGTACCTTAATGAGTTGAATGGTTGTCTCGTTATAAGAAGCTTATTTTATTGTTTTTCTTTTTAAGGAGTGCCCAAGTCCAGCAAAGGATTTTGCGATCGGTTCCACGAGAAGACGTTCAACTTTGAGGTACATTAACAAATTTCTAATATTTAATCACACATTTTCTTCTTCTTTTTGCTGAATATTTGAAATGAAGATGATCACACCCCTTCAGTCCTTTGTGCTGTAACATTATTGCGAGGGAATGATGAGTACTTATGTAACTACATTATCTTGAACTTCCTGTAATTGTGATATAAAATTATACTTATGATATTATGTAAATATACCTGCTTAATTATGTCTGAAGTGTTGTCAAAACAGAAATGGAGGCTCAAAAAGCGTGGATTGGAAATATTCTAACGTGAATTTTCAATCATGCATTTACTCTGAAGCGATGACCGCTGATGTTATTGCCCCTTCACCATGGAAGATTTTTGGTTGTCAGAATGGTAAAGCTTTATCCTAGAATAGTGCACATGGCTAGTGGACTAATCTGTATCTCATGTTGTTCATTGCTTATGCAGGACTAAGGATGTTCAAAGAAGCCAAAGAATGGGACTCCAATGGAAATGTAAGTTGCTCCTAACTCGTAACATTTTCATTTTTTTAACCAGGCATCTCTTTTGAAAAAGTGATAAGTTGTTTCCCTTTTCAGCATTGGGGTGATCACCCAGCAATAATGGCAGTTGGTGTGGTTGATGGAACTTCAGAGGCCATCTTCCATACTCTTATGTCTCTTGATCCCTCTAGATCAGAGTAAGTCTTGTGAGTGTATGTTTGGTTTTACATCCATGATCCACTTTTTGACAAAAATCACATCAAAGTTAATACAAAAGCAACTAATTGTTGCTTCCATTGATCAACATCCAACCAAAATTGATGTGAATTTAAACATGCTCTGAATTGCTATTCATAACTTGAAAATTTCTAACACCACGTTACACTCTTTATTATTGAGTGAAATTCAAAGGAACACCCCATGATTTGCTCTGGCTCAGATTACTAAATTACCAACTTTATTACAGATGGGATTTTTGTATTTATAGAGGCAATCTGGTTGAGCAACTTGATGGTCATACAGATATTATTCATCTGCAGCTGTACAATGATTGGCTACCATGGTAGGAAACATATGGAACATTGCCAATGAGAATTAATACTGTAAACATGTTAATATATGATTATATCTCATGTCCAGGGGAATGAAACCAAGAGATTTATTGTTGCGAAGATACTGGAGGAGGGAGGATGATGGCTCATATGGTACTGTTTTATGAAGTAGTAAAAGATTTATGTTGTGAAGATATGGTTCATTGTAATATCTAGCAGTTAACTTTTTTATCTTTGATTCTGTAACAGTGTTATTATTTCATTCTGTGTATCATTCCAAGTGTCCACACAAGAGAGGCTACGTCCGAGCTTGCCTTAAAAGTAATTTATGCTTTAAAATTGAGATTATTATTTTTTAACCTTTCAATGCTACAAAATAACTCATTCATATAGCAGCAGGATATAGGAGATGCAACAAGACCCTAAAGTAAGAAACAACACCCAAAGATAACTCAAAGATAAAAGTATTTATTTATAACCTGAGGATGATCAAATCCCAATCAACACTTCCCTAAAATAAATGCCTTCCTATTTTCCTCACGTCAATATTTATTTATTAGTTTTTCTAAAATAAGGTAAAATCCCAACAATAACACAACAATCCCAAAAATAACATAAAATAATAAGAAGGTTTTGGTTGTTTGATTTCTAAATTTATGTTATACTCTTTTGCAGGTGGAGGATTTGTAGTGACTCCTGTTAACAAAGGAACGCAGTCAGTTGTGAGACATATGCTTGCTGTTGATTGGAAACTTTGGAAATTGTATTTGCGCCCCACATCTGCAAGATCAATAACCATTCGTATGCTTGAACGTGTTGCAGGTATGTTTACTATATGATAAAGTTACGTGGCAGATTTTGCTGTTCTACGTAGTTTTTGTTATGCATGAAATTTTACTAGTATCTACTATGATCCCCTGTTTGCAGCATTAAGAGAGTTGTTTAGAACCAAAGGAGGAAATTTCTCATCTGATCCTCTTGTAATGACAAAAGATATTGGGTTGCCTCTAGGTGTAAAGGAGGATATTAAGACCGAAGTTACAGAAGAGAAGACCAAGTTTGAGGAACCTCTTATTGTACTTAAAGATGAGGTAGAACCTTCTAGTCGTTCAAGTTTAATGGGATTGAATGATTCTGATGAGTTCTTTGATGTTCCTGAACCAACGGATTATGATCACTTTGACAATGAATGGCATTCTGACTTGACTTCAGAACAGATGGTACTTTTTGCTCACCAACATCCTTCCTCTAACATAATTTCATTCTATTTTTCTTTTGTATTTTTCTGCTTTGATAATTTTAGATAAGTTGGAACTTGTCCTGAACAAAAACAATGATGCTTTTTCTTATTAAGAATGTAAGTACACATTTACGTATAACTGTCTAAGATTTCTATGTTCCCTGCATTGTGTCATGTGTTTATGTTGTTTATTTTCTAAATGATTTTTGTATGATAATTGATATGTCTTAATGATATGAATTGTTGAGGGGATTGAAATTTGAAACTAATGTGACGTGATTTGCAGTCTGTGTCCCACCCAAGACTATCATCAGCAGCTGGTTTGGTGAAAAAATTACACGACCTAGCAGGTTAGTGTTTATATTTATGATTTAACTTTTCAATATTATTAGTTTAGGATGGGATATGCAGGACAAAATTTTCTAATATTTTTGTTGAAAAATGGTTCCAAAATTTAAACATGTGCTACAGTTCACAAAAAGGGGTATATGGATTTGCAAGAATCTGCCAAGGAGGAAAGTCCATCATGCTCTTATGGAGCCACTCTTCAACAGGATTCAACCTGTGCTTTACCCTGCACCTGGGCTGCTTCTGACCCATCTTTGTTTTTGGTTCGAGGAGAAAATTATTTACGAGATCATCAGAAGGTACTTTTTGGTTTGTTTTATGCATTCATCTTAAATTGACATGTTACTTTACATGTAAAAGGAATTGTTAAAACTACAAAATTTTGTTTTCATCATTTTATTCAGAAAATCATGAACATGAAACATTTTTTGTAAAAGGCTTCAATGAAACTAGATACTAATGTTTGGCGTTTCAAACTATAATAAACAAATTTATACGTACTTTTTTTTAGAGGGCAAATAAATTTCTCTTTTCCAGATCAAGGCAGAAGGAACCATGATGCAACTGGTTGGTGCAGACTGGCTTCGTTCTGACAGAAGAGAAGATGCCTTGAGTAGTCGTCCTGGTTCCATAGTTCAGGTATATTCCTTCTTCCTTAGTTCGTGTATTTGTGATCAAAGGGTTCTAATTATTGTCACAAAATAACAGCTAAAAACTTATTATCATTCTTTTTGGATTTATTCAGCAATATGCAGCTCAAGGTGGACCAGAATTCTTTGTTGTTATTAACATGCAAGTGAGTATGACATGACCTCATGTTGATTCTTATATCCATCACTCCTAAAATTTTATAGGATTGTGTTTAACGTACACTATTGTCATGGATCAGATTCCCGGAAATCCTATGTATTCCCTTGCACTCTATTACATGATGAAAACTCCTTTGGAAGGCAATCCCTTGTTGCAGAGCTTTGTTAATGGAGATGATGCTTATAGGAACTCAAGATTTAAGCTGATACCATATATTTCTAAGGTTCATTTCTACTAAAACGTGACATTTAATAAACAGAGACAAAAATGCAGAATCAAGATTAGTATCTAATGGTTTTTCCCCCACGTGACTTGTTTCTCCCAGGGATCATGGATAGTCAAACAAAGTGTTGGAAAGAAAGCATGTTTGATTGGACAAGCGCTAGACACACGTTATATCCGTGGCAAAAACTTCTTAGAGGTAACATTGCCGAATTTCCAAAGGATTTAATGATTATATACTGTCAATACAAAGTAATTTTACACTGTTAATTTAATAATAAATCATTATTGATGAAATTTGTAAGATAATTATTGCAAAAGTCATCAAATTTAGTCAACATGATAATTGATTTAACATCGTACATGGCTTATTTTTTCATTTCGTGCGCCAATGATTTTGCTCTATTATTTTCATCTAGTTTCTCTTGTGTTCATAAGCTAACATTTAAAATATGTTTGCTTTATAGCTTGATATCGACGTTGGATCTTCAACAGTAGCAAGAGGGGTGGTTAGTCTAGTTCTTGGATACCTGAATAATTTGGTGGTAGAAATGGCATTTTTGATACAGGTAAAAGTAAAAGTAATTGATGAATGTGGTTTTGTTGGAGTATAAAATAAAATGTGTATTGAAGTTGCTAAACCAATTTTATGAACGTATCTGAAAATGTGTTACTTTTCAGGCCAACACACAAGATGAACTCCCGGAAGTCCTCCTTGGAACATGTAGACTAAATCATATGGACGCATCGAAAGCATTTCTGGTGAATGAATAATTTATTTACCTAGGAATTCTTTCGGTGTCTTTGAGGAGTAGAAGTTGATACTCCTACACCGGAGAAAACTAAGGATTATAAATGTTACATGTTCATAAACCTGCTTTCATGTTTTGTCCACCCACTCAAAGTTGACCATTTTGATTTGACTGGTGGTAGGAGTTTTCCTATGAATTTTCTGCTGGGGCTGCTCCATTTGCAACTTAAAGCAGTTTTCATTACTTTCCTCTCTGATCACATGTTGTACAATATTAATTCCTTGGCCTAGTTCCTGCCATGAATTAATGTAATATGCAAATCAGATATCTGGAAATAAAAATTTTAAAATACATGTTCCCAATTTAAAATTACAGTCTTCTGGCTTGCCCTACTCTGCCTTCAGCTCGTGTCTTTTAAAGCTACTGTATGCTCTCATCAACTATTATTTATGATATGGTAAAGAAGTAAAACAAAATCATCTGATAAGGTACACAATTATTTCTATATGTCACGATTATTTTTTAATATTTTTTATATATATGGATCTAAAAATAGACACTAAACTTATAGGGATATCTTTTTATTATCCGTTCAAAAAATATTTTGCATTACATTATCTACATCTATTGTCGAGCATCTCCGTATTAATTTGTTCTAGGTTTTTTCAATAGATTTCATCAAGAACTTGTTATTTATTACCAATCAAATTAATCAAATGTAGTTAGTTAATTACTAGTAATTAGTTTGTACCTTGGACGGTTATTTTTAAACCCTAAACAGATTAAAAAAAATCAAATTTTTGATATTAAGGAAAGATTATATAAAATTAAACCAAGCCACGTCATTTTTATTAAAATGGTGTGTCGAAATTAAAATTTTAAAATCAAATTTATATTAAGATCGATTGATAGTACAATAATCTTAAAATTTTAGTTCATCTAAAAAGAAATATGTCTTTAATTTAATATGGTGTATCAAAATTGAAATTAAAGTTAAAATTATTATTTAGAAGATAAAGACTTATAATATATATATTCAATATAGGAGGACATTCACAACTTAAGAAGAATAACAATAGCTCTTAAAAATATTCCCTTTATTTTATAATTTAAGATTAATTATAATATGATTAATTTATTTTTTTTAATAAGAAAATTTTATTTACACTGATGTTAATTTTGGATGAGATGAAAACGTTCATCTAACGTGATATATCTCTCGGTTTGTGACTTAGCACCAAGTTGATCAAATAAGTATAGCCGAACCCAAACTCTTGAACTAAACTTTCTTTACTTATTTTTAATTTTATTGATTTTAAATTTCTTCCATTATTTCTTTAAGTCTTCCATCATCTCCATTCCATGAATGGTAATTTTTATTGAATAGTAGTCTAAAACTGATTTGTGAAGAGCTTGCTAGAATGTAGGTCTCTTTTTTTGTCTGGGCTCAAGCCCACATTTTGACCATCACATATTGCAGTATGCATTCTACATTTGGGCTTTCAGTCCCCTAGGAGAGAACTGATGGAACTTATCTTTTAAAATTGAAGAAGTGTATGTGTTTCAAAATTTCAAGCCGATTTTCAAAGATTGGGCTGGGCTTTGATATTATATTGAAAACTGGGTTGTGTTGACCTGACCTGGTTGTCATGAATGAGTTATTTTTTGATTAGTTGTCATAAATGAGTTATTAAAAAACAAAAACTGCAATTGACCAAATAATGTATCAAAAACTACAATAAGCATGAAACTTTAATTGTTTATAAACTAACTACAATTTAAAAATTACTGAAATTGCTTTTATCATGAACATCAAATTGTTATCACTTCATAGCTCACAGAATTACTGTTAAAATAAATTCATTAAAGCTGGTTTAGTGTCTTAAGAGTTGGGTAGTTTACACAAAGTTTTAGGTTTTAACTTTAGTTTTTTGTGTACAATAATAACTACTATAGGATATTGTGTATATTATCTAAATCTTTCACTACTAAATCTAGCTTAGTAGTTTATTTAACCTTGTTACATTGTTGTTGCACACATAAAAAAATAATAATAATAAATAAAAGGTTTCCGTTAAAATAAATGCGTTGCACAAAAAATAATTTTAATATAAGAAAATAAAATAGAGGCTATTTTTTTAAAAAAGTGTAATTTTTTTTAAAAAATCTGAAATAGATAATTTTTTTAAAAAAAATCCTAAATAGAATAATTCGCGCTTCACTGCTTTCAAATTTTTTTTCAAAAAATTAAAATGGTGTTTTGAAAACATGACTTTTTTATTTTACATAAAATTATTATTTTAAGGTTGAGAAAAAGAAAAAAAAATCATGTTTACGACTCACGTCTTTGCCATTCAATTAAACAAAATAAAAGCCGAAACTACATTTTTAAACAGGACTTTCAAAATAACTGAATTATGTTTGTGAAACATGACTTCTATTTAAAAGTCATGTTTGTCAAACACAACTAATCCTATTCTGGATTTTTTTTTTTTTAAAATTATCTATTTCAACAACTTTTTAAAATAATTACACCACTTTGATATTAAAAAGATAAATAAAACCCTAAAATAGAGATGAACTTGGGTTAATTTGGGCAACCCCATACTCGTAGGCCAAACTTTTGATCTCCACTACCCTCAAGAGTCAAGACAAATGACATGGTATGGTGACCTCACCCTTCACCACTTTCTATTTTCAGTGCAATTATTACTAACACATCCATGAATTATCACTGCCAATATACACTGTATCTCATAGTGCACCATACTGTTTACTGTTTACCATTCACCTTCCATGCTTTCATTCAAATCTGTTTATCCTTTTCTTTCATGGAATAGTGGTACTAGTATAACAACATTGTTTTCATCTTGTTTTATTCTTCCCCAAGATGTGTAGCAGTTTAGGAGGCTTATGAATATAATTTCATACTAATGCCTTTTATGAGACTCCTTTCAGAGCAACAATAGACTGTCACAATCCAAATGAAGCCTGAATTCAATCCAAGCAATTATGTGGCTAAAGTTTTCTCAATACGTACATCTCTTTTTTTTCTTTTAAGAGTGTTTATACAGACATCAAACACTGTCAGGGTATATCACTGTAGTTGAAACTCATGGATCAAACAATTTGCAAAACATTTAAAAAATAAAAATGTCGGTCATGTTATTGAATAGCTTTCATTGACGTTGAATAATGCATGATTTTTATTGATGTGCTTCTCACTTCTTAGGTGCCTTTTTGGCATTTTTTGTGGTTATGGCGTGGGACTAGTTGCTTCTTAACTAATTAATTTTGTACATCACCTCCAAACATGGTTTGGGCCTTTGGGACAAAGCTGCCTCTCGTAGTAGAACTTGGGTTGCCCCACAATAGTTACTACTATGTAACCTTCTCACACCAAAAAATGATTCATTGGACCAAAAATATTTAAATAAGTCACAACTCAATGAAATCAATATAATATCATATTTTTAACTTAAATGACACCTTTTTAAAAAATAAATAATTAATATGTTTTATATATGACTCTTTAATAATGGGATTGTGATTGATAAATACACTGTTTTGAGACTCTTGGGTTTGTGTCCCCCAATGCCTTTGATAAGGAGTGGGTTGCCACTCTCCATGACACTTTATAATTTTTTTCCACGTTGTGTTGATGTGCTTCCTTGAATACGAAGCACCTCTAAACCCCTTACTTTTCCTTCTCCAAAATACCCTTCTCTTTTATACTACAAAATAATTATCTACGTGGGCAGCACCATAATTTCGCCACACATAAAATTTTAAAATTAGCAACGTTGTCCCCACGTTGTGTGATCTAATTGTGGCACCCACGTGGCACATGTCTGCATTCAAAGATGTTATATCTTGCCATTGCTCATAAATCTTCCTTGTCTATGGAAGGACACACTTAATTAATTTAATAATTGAAATTTTGGTTTAAAACTAATTAAAAGTAATGTGGAAAAGACCTTCTTGGTCCTCACCTCACATGTAACCATCGCTTTCACTTCCCTATTCTCGGCGTTTAATTCGGTGATTGAGAAATGCTTAGATATATATTTTCTAAATAATATAACTTTTTTCACAAATATAAAACGTATACCCACGTGACATCGTCACGTGTTTCATTTATTTTTCTTTGCGGTCCAGCACACCTTATGTCGTAAATGTCCGAAGAACAAAGAAAATTTGTGTCTGCAAAGTTTTTATAATAATAATAATATTATTATTAAGAGGGACTTGTATAGTTGTATACTCGTCTCATAAAGAAAAGGAAAAAAAAGGTTATATGTTATACAATGTAGTGACAAAATCTGACCGTTGCAAGAGGTGTTCTGCCTTGACTATTATAGAAGCAAGAATACAGACACTTCTACTAATCGATCACATGGGATGAGTTATCTTAGCAAAGATTGGAGTAAATTTTTTGTATTCCTCATAAACATATATATATAATCATGCACGTTAAGTGTCTTTCTTTAAGGAAAAAGGAGTGTATAGTACAATTTTAATAAAAAAATTTCCCAAGGTATGTATAGCTTAAAGAAGGTATTAATCACTACAATGGATTTCTTGTGGTATAATTTATACAAGAAAGTTTTAGATTCAAGTTTTTGTTTATTTTATATAGACACATTTTTTCGTGTCATCTCATTTTATGTAAATAGAATTCATAATTGATGATCTTTAAAGTTTGAAAGTTTAGTTAAAACATGCACATAAAGATAAAGATGAAAAAAATGAAAATAGTTAGCACACATAAGATTCATTTAAAAAGGATTTGAGGAACCCAACCACGATCCAATAGAATGTTATCTCACCCCCATAACGAAATGGAATATCTCATCCATGATCCAAAAGATTATAATAATGTAAAGAAAAAAGGATTAAATTGTATATAATTAATTAATAATATGCACAATTCTCGAATAATAGAATTAAAAATAAAGACATAACGAAAAAACGGTTTGAGGTAGAACTTAGAAGAAAGTCAAAATAGTACGCACCGACGCGAATGCATGGGATTCAGCTCCACTTTCCTTCCTTAACCGGTAATCTACCTCTTTTTCCCGGTTAACCCGTCGGTGGCTTAACTGTCGGCACCGACACGCCAGATTTATTCCCGGTCATTTTCTGTATTATTTTTTTTCTACTTCCATTTTATATGTGGTCTAACAATAATAATAATAATAAATAATAATATTTGAAGCGGTGCAGTTTGTTCCTTTGGACGAGCTTTCACTATCAGTGGATATATTTTTGCCTTGCAAATTTAATTTCCAGCGACGTGACACGTGGCTTGGGAGAGAGATTACTAACCTGCGGTGCGGAGCATGGTGGTACTTTGAAGGCAAACAATACAT